TTTGGTCCCCGTTTTTTCCACCCATCCAATTTTAGGATATAACTTTTTTATTTTCTTTCAATCATGCTCGCTAATTGAAGTTACTCGAGACCCTTTTTCTCCTTAATTTTTTCGATTGTGCTTCTCTTTGCCTTCAATTAAATTCTCGTGTTTTAAACTCTTTCAATTATACCTTCCAATTGGACTTCTTTTGGTCTTAATTTCTCGGATCTTTTAATTAGACTCCTAATGCCAATTTCATAATTCCCTCTTCTTTTTTCTTTTTTTCTTTTTTTGTATTTTTTTTTTTTTTTACTTCTTTGTGTATTTTTGAAGAATTTATAAAAATAAATGATGTAAAAATTAGTTGCCGACACTTATTATAATAAACTCGATTGTGATTTTTGTTGTTTTGACTATTTTTATAATAATAAAAAAATTCTTGCGATTTTGGTGATGTTCAAAGGATCATTCTATGATTGTGTTTCTAACTCGGGTGATAGTCACGTGTAGAGTTTCTTCCCATTCAATGCTATTACATAAGAACCTTATCTCCACAAATACATGACTAAAAAAAAAAAACCTTAAACCGCTCTTTAACAATTTTTTAATCAACATGTTTGGAGCATCAAAGGTTTGATTTGGGAAGAAGTGATTGCAATTTTTTTAAGATTGGGTCGGATCTTGTGTTCTAAAAAACTTGAATTCAATTAGTTACCGAAATCCTCTTTTGAAATTGCACCAAATGAGGCACCCAACTAAAATTCATAGTCCTTAAAACTACCCCTCAACTTAAAAAAACTCACTCAACTCTACAAAACACTCATGTTTGTGATTTTGAAACCAATGCAAGGATGAAAGAAATCTAGTAATATTGAAAAACTTTTTTTCTAGTCCGCTTATTCAACTTTAATACACGTGCAAAAAGCAAGAAGAGCGATCGATGGGATTCTATAAAAGGTGTAATTACAAATAACTCTCGAAGAGTTGAGATTTTCACTATTTTTACACTATTCATAAACTCACATAATATTATTTATTTGATGGTATTTTTGTGATTTTAAGTTAATGAGATATTCATTATTTGAAGTGTTTTTTCAAGTATTTGTTTAACCCACAACACTATTCAATCCTTTTTACTGTGTATTGAATGATTTTTTTTTTTTTTTGGTAATTTTGAGACTTTTCAAGTATTTTAGACGTAAAATTTTACTTATATTGTTCTTTTGTTCCTCATTTTTCAAAAAAAAAAAATTCAATTCATAACTTTATTTGTATTATAATTTGGTCCCTAGCTACTAAAAAGGGAGAAAAACAAAGAGAGATGAAAGAGGAGTGAGAGATCTATGTATAGATTTTTTAATAAATTTTTAGAACATTGTTATTTGTTCTTAAAAATAATTGATATAATTTATATGCATAGTTATATATATAATCTAAAGATTAAAAGTATTTTTTTAGCTTAGGGTTTTTTGAAAAAAAAATATAAGAACAAGTTTTTAGTTAAGAATCCATTGATTTTTGCTTATATACGTAAAGTTTTGCTTACCCAAATATAGAAGAGTAAATCGTGTTCTTTTTAGCAAAAAATTGTGAAAAATATAATGAATAATTAGTTAAACACATAATTAAAAAATATTTTTTTTCTTTCACTTTTAATTGATATATTTTCGTAGACTTATAATATAACACATACTATCAAAGTAAAATTATTTTTATAATAATTTTACATGTTCTGTCCGACTCGCAAGTATAACACGAGGAAAAAACTATTACTTTATAAAAGCCATAATACGATATCTAGAAATAGAAGTGAGCATAATTCAATTTTATTCAAAAAAAAATCTTAAAAATCAAATCGAATCGAACTAAAATAAAAAATTTAATACAGCTTTTAATGCAAAATTCAAAAAAAAAAAAAACTAACTAAAATAATTTTGGTTTATAAATTCTATTTGATTTTTAAAATTTCAAAATCAGTTTCCAAAAAAAAAAAAAACCAAACTACCACCATACTTATCATGCCAAGTATTTCGATCAATAATTAACACACAAAATTGACCTTAATTTATATTCTTAGTCCTATTCTCCCACTTGATTTGTTTTCAATGGGGGATAAAAAGCACAACAAAGCTAGTTTCCAAAGCTTGTTTTCTAGTAGAACAGTTGAATACAACAAGTGCAATTAGATAAGAGTGAGCAAATGGTTTTTCGAGTTTGGTTTTTAACAATTTCGATTCGATTTTCGATTAACGAAACACAATAAAATGACAACCGAACCAAACCAAATTATAATTCAGTTATTAGATTTCGATTTCAAAATAATTCGATTTTAAATTTTGATTTTTCGATATTAACCGAATTCATCAAATATTAATGTTCCGTAGCTAGCTCACACTCGCCAACCAAGACTACAAGAGAGAGAAACGCAATACACCACAGCTCATCCTTGCTCCACCCACATCCTTTTTATAGACTTTCAAAAACTTGAAAAGTCGCTCACTTCCGATGTACGATTGTGAGTTAGTGAACTCGACAATGTTCCATTATCCCACATTGACAAGTTAAGGTTTTGAATGATGGTGGTTTGCTTATAAATAAAGGCTGACTTACACATTTTCTTAGATTATGACCAGACAAGCTGGCTCCTTGGGCTTGCAAATTCAAGACCTCTTATGGGTTGAGGTCTAGGTCCAAGAAGATCAACAAAAAACTAGAGTTAATTTTTTTTAATAAAAAATTTTAAGTTCATTTTAATTTAAATAAAATTAAATTAGATAAAAATTTTGGTTTTCGATTGACATCGATTTAAACTTTTTAAAAACCAAAACCAAAAATCTATATAATTTCGATTCGGTTTTTTTATAAGTAAATTTAAATGAAAAACCGAACCAAAATAAATATTTTGATTCGGTTCGATTCAATTTTTCGGTTTTAATCGAAATTTGCTCATCCCTACAACTAGACATCTTCTATAGCCTTAATCTCACACTCCCCTTGGATTTATTAGCAAATGCACTACTGGGCTTTTTTATGGCCCAAGCTCTATTCCCCCAGTTTGTAATTTTTCCACGTGCGATACATGTTGAACAACTTGTGCTAGGCTTCTTTTATAGCCTTTTTTACTCATCTTCTCACTTATCTTTTTTCGATATGAAATACAAATACACGAGCACAAGCTCAGATATCCCACATCGCAAAAAGAAAAAAGAGAGCCCAGCGTGCATCCTTTTATGCATGCATCTAAAAAAAAAAAAAAATGAAAGAACGAATCTATAAAACTTGGCGCTGCATTCACCCTTCAAGTATTTTCTTAGTATATTTCTACTCGCAGAAGTCCTCCTGAATAATAGTTTAAAATTAAAATGTGTCCTTAGAAACTTAAAAATTCAGTTTTTAATTCAAAACCGAAATTTATGAAACCAAAACATTCAAATCATTCGATTTAGGGTTATGATTTTAAGATTTTAAAAGTTCAGAATGATTAAAGTTTAGTTAACCAAAAACCAAACTAAACTAATATAAAACCAAACCGAAAAACCATTTGCAATTGGAAGCTAAAGTAGTGCCTTGGCTCGTTTATGTGGCTTCTCAAGCATACAGATTTTCTATCAATTCCTATGACAGTAAATGCTTTACACAATTCAAAACCTTTATGTGGCTTCTCAAGCATACAGATTTTCTATCAATTCCTATGACAGTAAATGCTTCACACAATTCAAAACCTTTCTTTTCTCAATATTTTACTTGCAACGTGGCATACTATACAACGCAATTATAGCTGGCAGCTGAAGAGGCAGCCACTAACATTTCCCAATTAAAAAAAAATACAAAGCAACAAAAAAACAAATCAATGCACAATGATATCTTATCAGCAAATATTGCCAAAACCACGTTGGAACCAGTACAGGTGTACATACTTTATCTTTACTTTCCTTTACATCATCACATGTTTTGAGGGGATTGTTAAGCTACAGAACAATCATGCTACAAAATAGGTTTGTCTCCCTATAACACCACTGGAATTTGGATCTAGAACAAACATCAGTAAATCCACCACACTAACAACTGCAGCAGAGATGCAACTTAAAAATAGTTAACGGTTATATAAAGCAACAATATCTTAAGACAGCCAAGGCCCTTTATATATTATATATTTATTTATTTAATAACACTGAAAAAGCAATCTAACACGGGGTGACTCCCTTTCGGAGGATAAAAAATAATAATAATAATAATAATTAGATCTCATCTCAAGCTGACCATAAACCTATGTCAAAAACTAGATGTTTTCCAGAGATAAAATTGCCAGAGACCAAATCAACAAGCATGCTAATTATTCTGAAAATAGAGGAACATGTGACCTCATATTGACCGCCACTTGGCAAAAATATCATTCGGCCGCTTGTGAGCTTTCTTACCAAGCTAGTCCGACATTAATTCGTAACTAAACCAGGACAAAACACCCTCTTTTAGGTAGAAACCTGGTCAATTCTTGATCACAAAAGAATTGAACATCTTGTGTGTTTCCCTCATTGGCATCACACAGATTTCTTAGTCCCCCAACTCGTCATGCCAAACAGGGACTAACCATAGAGGCATCTCCAGAAACAAGCTACGGATAAATGTTATGTTATAGAAGTTTGGCTGATAATCAGATGCAAAATGAGAGCCAAAAAAAATAAATACATCTAATCTAGATCAAACTAACAGACATGACATGGCCACATACTCCAAATCAAGATGCTATATAGTCTACACACACTGAAACAACTACAATAAGTAACCCAAGACAACCAATAACTTAAGTGAAGCAAAAACTAGTCTGACTAAGCCATACAATAGAAAAGATAGTCTCTAATTAAATATGTCTTCTGATCCTTAAAAGCTTTGCTCACTTGCTGTGATTGTAGACTTCTAGTACGTGTGGAAAGTGCCTATCCATTCACAAGGCTTTAAACTAGAGTTCCCTGTCTGAAACTTCTAGGCAAAGCTTAAGAAACTGCATGAAAATGCTCTTTCTACCTTGCATAAGGATGGTAACGACTACCGCCAGTATAGCCTCCCCTTCCATACAGGCCACCTGCTCCTCCATAACTAGTGCCTGGACTAGATTCATAACCACTGGCATAACCAGCAGCTGCATAACTTCCATATCCCTCACTTGCTCGACCATAACCTCCTAAGCCACTAGCACCATAACCCCCACCAAATCCACCTCCATAAGGCCCATAGCGACCCGAATAACCAAGGGAGGCTGCTTCACCCCTGTAAGCTCCTAAGCTATTCCCTCCAAAATTTCCATAACCACCACCAAAGTCCCCAGCACCACTACCATAACCATATGCACTACTGAGTCTACTAGACAGACCAGGTGTCCTATAAGGGCCAGGCCCAAACCCCTCATACATACCACCAAATCCACCATAATTATCATTATTAAAAGAACGACCCCTAGGGTTGCTACCATATGCAGGAGCAGAAGGTGGGTTTGAGGCTTTCTTTGGTTCAGCTTTCTTGATCTCCACCTACAACAAAGCAACTTAGTTAACCTAGGTTCTACAGCAGAAACTATTTTGACCCCTTTCCTGATATCTACATCTGTAACAATCTTCACTGCTGTATTATAACAAGAAATACTCTAAAACTTAACTATATCCATAAAGGGAAAAATAACCCACATATGAGAAGAAAACAAATGCAATAATTCATGCTGCACCATGAACAAGGATCTTTTACATTCTTCTTTCTTGGAAACCATTGAAACAAACTTACCTGGGCACCAGCCATATCAATCATATTTCCATTGGATAACATTTCATCAACAACTTCTTCACTATCAAAAATTATAAATCCAAATCCACGGGAACGATTGGTTTCATGATCACGTATAATCTGGTGTTCCATTACTTTCCCATATTTGGAAAAAAAATTCTGGAACTCATCTGAAAAAAATTAAACATCCCAATTACCAAAGGTCTAAAGAAGTACTGCATGAACTAAAATGGTAACACAAAAGGAAAGCTATTACCCTGCCAGAAAACAAATCAGCAGAACTTAGCAGGACATACCTTCAGTCACAGCTGATGGAATCCCGCCAACAAATATCTTCTTTGTTTTAAAATCCTTCGACTGCCCAGAACCTTTAGGAATAGTCCTTTTAATCTCAACCTGCTCCATTATCCTTTGTTAGTCTCAAAAGTGATTGTGATATCAACTTCACTAACATGAGATGACTAAAATGCAACAACTGAACTTGAACACCTAGACCAAACCATATTTACTTAATCCCATCATGATGAATTAATCAAAAGTACAAATAAGTGCATTCACACAAGAAATAACTTAAAAAAGAAAGATATTTTTAAACCATTCTAAGACAAAATCCAAACACAACAATGATGGAAACTTATAGGGGAATAGTATACCTGTTTTCCATTGATTATATGAGTGTCTTCAATAACCTTGTCAACAACAAAAGGATCAGCATAGGTTATAAACCCAAAACCCCTAGGTTGACCTGTGTACCGATCCTTCATAATAACTGAATCAGTTATCTCCCCATATTTACCAAAGTGCTTGTTAAATGTGGCTGCAATTAAGAGCATGTTAGGCAAAAACCCACAACAAACTAGTACGCAACAATACCTCAATTCCATGAAATCTATATTAACAAGTTTTATATTTTCAATAACCTAAATAATAATAATAACCAGTATATTGCAATAATCTATTCAAGTATCATTCTTTCATTAATCCATTAATGACTCCGTAAATATCAAAAAACCCTAAACTCAACAATAATTTAATACCCATCAGAAAATCCCAATCCCATCAATCTATATCCACCAGTATTATAATTCAACAACCAAATAAAAAAATATATATTGCCAATACCCTTTCAAAAATTACAAATTAATCAATTCAACAGTCTAACTTGAATAATAAAAATGATAACTCACCATATGTGGTGTCTTTGGCCAATCCTCCAATAAAAATTTTCCTGCGTACGAAATAAATTCAAAATTTTCAAATCAATTTGATTCCCCTTTTCTTCCAATTTTCTCCGAAACCAAACAAAACAAAGCCAAATCAGGAAATATCAATACAAAAAAGAAATACGAACCCGGGGCTGGCTCCATCACCAGAGTGGGGATTGTCGATCTTAGATCTGGAACCCATTAGATTGTTTGGTTGAATGTTTTTCGAGAAAAATTGGTTCGATTGATTCAGCGAAAAAAATAGAGAGGGGTAGGGTTTGCATATATAGAAGCAGGAGGAGATCTGTATTGTGTGGTGATTTGATCTATTTTCATTTGAAAGGACAACTTTGCCATCCAAAGAACTACAAATAGACTGATGTGTCCAACCGACTTTACCACGTATGGCGGTGGCTCTACTAGTCAATAAAAATGAAAGGCGTTGTCGGCCCGGGGGATTTGACTGTTAATGGGTTGGAAAATTTGAAATGTGGTATCGGTGGGTAGAAAGGCCAGGCCTAGGCTAGGCAATTTTTCCATCGGAGAGCCCATTTGCTTTATTATTATTATTATTATTTTGCTTTCTTTTTCTTTTCTTTTTATTATTATTATTATTTTAATATACGTACATACGTCTTACTATACTAAATATATCCTTATTCTCGTTACAAAATATCATTGGTCGAAATGAAATTATAAATACATAGAGATAATTAAAAAAAAAAAAAACTTAAAGAACTCGAACATATTCCTGTTCATTTACTATAGCCACTAACCCATTGACACTATTCATAGAAGCTCGATTTTTGTGTAATTTTTGCTTCTTTCTTGGACGAGTTATATTATTCTTTTGTTTTGCAAGTTCTATTAGCTAAAAAGAGATAATGTAATCCGAACAACCATTAAATCATTGTCACGTCTTAGACCTTGTCTCCAACAATCTTCAATTGTTCTCTCTCTCTCTCTCTCTCTCTCTCTCTCTCTCTCTCACCCATCTGCAGTTCAAAAAAAGACTCTCTCTTTCTCATATGCTCGCATCTCTCATGCATCTATAGTTCAAAGAAAAACGTTCTCTTTCTCATATGTTCTCTATTTCTCATATGTCCGCATCTCTCACGCATCTATAGTTCAAAGAAGAACTCTCTTTTCTCATATGTTCTCCCTTTCGCATATGTCCGCAACCCAAAAAAAAAAAATTACTCATGTCGATCATACAACAATTATTCATAGGTATTCGCTAATCAAAATCCTTCTGAGTTCCCATTTGGTGACCTCCGCTTCATCTCAATGAGCCTCGGTTCTTTTTAGAAAGAGATTGTTGTTGAGATCTTAGAAGAAAAGGCAAGTTTTGTTTGATGTGAAGTTTTTATTTTTATTTTTTTACTCGAATTTTGCGTATTATAATTTTTTGGAGTTAGAAAGAAGTTTTTTCCTATTCTTGCATTTTTATTGTTGGTGAGTAGCAATTTTTTCACTATAGAAATCATTCATTGAGAAATTTTATAATACACCGGGAGTAACTAGTGGTATGTACAATAGTTACTCCATAGATCCACTTTGAGGAGAGAGATAGATACGAAAAAAATAATAAAATTACATTCGTGTCCACCAAAAGTTATAAGAAGATTTCCACGTCCGTTCAAAGTTTTTTATTTTCTCTCTTTCTTTTTTTGTGTCTATCTCTCTCTTCAAAATGAGCTCATGGAGTAACTACCGTACATGTCACTAGTTACTCTTGGTGTATTATAAAATATCTCACCATTCATGGCCCTCCGATGAGTATATCAACAAAAACACCTTACAATTGGTAACCACTTTATCTTTATCTCTCTCACTTTGATATAATCGATTTTTTTTTATATGTTTTGTTAATGATTATAGTCTACTCGTTTCGTTTATGAGATATTCATGAGAAGGAAAAAAAGAGTCAAAATATTATTTCTAAGAGATGGATCAAAGAATCATGCCTTAGGTCGCTTCTTACTTTACCAAATCAATCATACCAAAAAGAAAAAAAGTGATTTAAAGCATTAACTATGTATTTTGGTATTGGTTGTTATACATCTCAGATTTGTTGGTACCGTGGGGTGCTACCCACATAATTTTATTTCATTTTTTTTATGCATGGCTTTTAGGATTGTCTAGAACTCTTTCAAGACTCGTGTTATGTTAGGTACTCGCTACAATTTGATTACATTCATTTTTTTTATTGGTGACCATATTCGGGATGTTATGCTTTCAAGTTCTAATTTAGTTATAAATTTGCAATTTCGTTGATGAAATCCTTCATGTGATCCAAATATTAGGTTGTTATTTATTTGATTCTAGACCATTAACTAGCCGATTAATGAAGGATTTTTGGCCTATGAATATGGGCAAAACAATTGAGAGACAACCTTGATGATATACCATTTAGGTAAGATCACTTATGAAATATATGGTTGTGTTTTATAACGACTCAAGCAAAGGAGTTTCCTAATGATGCAAATGGTTTTGTGTTTTATCGTTGCATTGTTTTGGGGATTAAGAGTGTTCAATCTTACCTTGAGAGGCCCTTTAAACCATATTCAATAGTAATATATCATCATACATATTTATCCGAAGTGGTTGAGCCTAGAGGGTGGCATGCTTGGAAGAATGAGGGGCATGAGTAAGTTACGCAAAATTTGAAACCCTTTTATTGTTTCTTATTTTACGTTCTTTTCTTGATTTTCACTTTGATTTTCTTGTTTTTCAAGAGGTAATTTAACCTATGCAGAAGTTAATTGCAAAGGATCGGGATCAAATACTTCAAAGCATGTGCCATGGGAAAAGAAGCTTAATGTAAAACAACTCAATCAATTTTCAAAGTCATCCTTCATTGACCAAGATCGCTAGCTTGCCAAACAACCTCTTTGATCATTGTTCTTGGCATTTTCCTCCGTACTTCATTTGATGTTTTCTTAGAGGCAATTGCTTTTATGCAAGTTCTTTCATTGTACCAAGTTCTCTCAATTTCTTAAGGAGAAAATAGGTTCAAAATTAAGATTTTTTCCTTGAATTTTGTTGGAATTTATCATCAATATATGAATTTTAATATTCAGTTTATCCTTCGATTGTTAATAGCTTTTCTTTTCTTTTTGGGTCTTACTTAACACACTTTGAAATTGCCTCGAATCTAGCCAAAGCATAGACCAAAGCTCTCTTTTTTAATGATTTTTCCTTCTTCTTTTTTTACCACTATTGGCACATGAATTATTTGAAATTAATTATAGGTTATGGCACAAGCATTGGTGTCACCATCTTGCTATGTACATACTTGGTGTTTTACTTGCTTTATTCTATTGTCGATTTTCTCGTATATGGGTTTGATTTGGTGTTTGTGATAGGTGATTTCTACATATCGTGGAAACAACTTTATGCATTTTTACCGGCACATAGTTGGGGTCCTATTTCTGCAATTCTAAGCTATATATTTGAATAATGCTATGGTTCCATTTTTTAGCACGAGAGTTATATGGAGAGTCTCGTCGTATATTGATACAAGGCGGAAGCCCAAGCCTTCAATCGGACGAACTTTGCCTTTGTAGATAACTCATGTGATGTTGTTCAATATGATTGTATAGATAGCAAGCTGAATTCCTTTCGCGAAGGTAACTTGACACTAGCGCAAAGCATCTCGTCCTAATGAAGACTCGTGTCTATTGTGTGGCTCGCCTTTATCGTGAAATATATGTGCCGTAGTTTAACTAATTTGAACATTAAAAATTTTACTTTATACCTACTATTTCATTTACGAGTTATGTCTAACGAAGCATGCTATGATAGACTTTATGGTAGCATTTAAGAATAATGTATGATGATATGCCGATAATATTAATTCCTCTTGGCTAGCAGTGTTCAAATGCTTGCTAATGTTTTCCTTTAACTTTGATGTGAATGCTCGGTCATTCAGTTTTAGTTTTACATGATGGAAAGTTTGATAAATGATATAGGTGATTGCAACTAGATGAGATTTTATTGTAATAAATAGGTGTTAAATAATAACAATTTACTACCTTATCTTCCACACTCGTGACTATCAAACTAGATTATAAGCTATATAGTATGTCTCGTCGTCCTTTTCATACCTCATGATTTTCTTCGCTTCATGCTTTTGAAACATCATTGTTCACATTTGAATAAAAATAATATAGTTTAATTGATTGAAAATAAAAATTTAATTCTTTATTTGAATTAACGATTCTACTTGCATATTCAAGAATGTCAATTAAAAAGACTCTTAGTTTCTTCCAATATCTTAACTAAAAATAGAATATGAATAAAGTAATTTAAAGAAAAGTATATATGATCATAGTAAAGTAATTTAATGAAAAAAAAAGCAACCTAAACACTTTTGATAAATTAAATTGAGATATTTTAATTCATATGATTATTACAAAAATTAGATACATCATCTTTTATCCTCACATACTTTTTGCACACAATTTTCTAATCATGTAATTAACATGATTATAATAATCAATTGAATATTCATGTGATTCACATGCCATCGTAGCAATGAAAATGTAATCCTTATGTTTGATCAAAGTTTATATTTTCTCAATAAAAAGAATTATTTATAGCTAGCAATTTCCCCATCATATTTTCTCTTTGTAAGTAAAATGTAATTCCTATGCACTATTGGTTAGTGTAAAATATTAATATTAAAATGTTGGTATTTTTTATAATTATTTTATGTTTGGTATTTTCTATAATTATTTTATGAAACATCGGGAAGGTAAATGTTATAGCTTATTTTTTACCAAATAAATACTTTGTTTTCGTATATTTTTTTTCTTTTTTTTTCTTTTTGTTAAAAATGTGTTCTTATATGCATAAAAAAAGGTTAAGCTTCGAATCTATTTTTCTTTCGGATGATTGTTTTTATATAACTTTTTTAGAATCTTATTACGGTATGTTTTGATTTTGGTCCATCGTATCTTTTGGTTATAGCTCGTAAAAAAAAAAATTTCTTCCTATTCTCTAGCTTTGTTGTTTAGATGAAATGAATGTTTTTTATTGTATTGTTGTCTTTCTTTTTATATATTGATGACTATTTTGTTTTAGTGTTAGCTCTATAGGATAGCTGCATTAAACATTTGAGATTCATATCCTAATGTGTATACATATGAATTACATAGGTTCTTTGTTCTAAATTCAAGGTTTTGTATTTTAATACAA